CAATGGCGTCTTGGAATTTGCAGCCTCGTCTGAGAAAAATCGTTTAGGAATTTAAATTATTATCAAAATAATTTATTGCAACGCTTCTTACAGGTGTTATTCAACAACAAGTTAACGAGAGTTCGGCAGATATGGATCTATATGGGGATACGTACGACAACAGAAATACAATAAGTGGACTTTGGTATTGGAGACTCTATCGAATTAGGAAAAGGTACGTGGAGACAGTTTTCCAAAACACAACGCGGATATGTCGATGCGTTTTTGTTTTAACATAAATAAAAAAATAAATAATTTAATATAAATACAGGATTAAATATAGATAACACTGTTTGAGTTAATTTCCAGTGAAACGAACGACGATTAACAGATTTTTCAATACCCTCAGGTAGCATCCTTGGGTCACAGATGACTATAGCAATTCGTATCGTGAAGATCTGGTGAAATTTGGACGTGAGAATGTTGGTGAAAAATTCCAAACTTGAGTCAAATCTTTAACCCTAAATATTTCTAATTGACGATGACCCAATTATACCAATTAAGAGTTAATAATTATTTAGAAAAACCTGAGCACGGAGGCGTTTGCCACCTCTTCATTCTCGCTGTTACTTATTCACTTAGTTCAATGGAAAGATGATGTTTGATCTTTTCAATTTTTCGGAGTGTAGGCGGAATAAGCAAGATCTTGGGGAGAATCGTTGGACGATCGTCCCCAACTATGATCGTAATCATCGTGATCGTAGTGGTGCTGGTGTTGCGCGTGCTCGTAGTAGATAACCTTCGCGGGCTGAGACTTTTTCAAATCGAGCCAAAACTTGACGACGTTGAGGGCCAGGGTGATGACAGCGATGAAGAAGAATTTTAGCTGGAAATGCGTCGAGATCAGCTGAAGCAGCAGGCTGAGCTTGGCTTTGAATAACATGACCAAACCGAGCAGTCTCTGCAGCTGCTTCTTCTTCTTCTTTCCGAACTTCTTGCCACGTCCTTCCTCTGTAATCAAAGCTCTATATTAGATTTGAATGTGAGATCCATTTGATTGATTATTCAGTATTTAACGCGTTTATAGTTGAGAATCTATCGACAGTGTTATTAATACGCCGTGGAAAATTTATATTTTTCTTCTTTGTTACATTTCAAATGTTATAATTGGTAATTATGGTTTTGCGTGTCTTTGAACATCACGCGTATTTCGTGTATTTAAATTTGAATACATTTAAATTTGTAGTTGAATTGCTCATCATTGAATCTCAGAGATGATGTTAAACCTACGAAGTCGATCTTTCTTCGTAGGTTTAAGATCGAGTTCTTCTCTTCTACTTGAACGTTCGCATTAACGTGTGAATCGACACAAAGACGGTTGACTCTTTACTGTGAGCTCACTCTCTTCGGTCGGCTCGATGGCCGCGATTCCACCGCAAATCCGTGAGGTTAACCGTAACAAGTATGACTCGAAGCCATAGATTCACTCGCTAATTTTCTAGCCTCTACTTTCATTTACTTCTTCCTTCGACGTCTCGATTAATACGAATAATTGGACTAACGAACACTTTCATATAAACCAGTCCGGTGACCTAGATGCCTCTGGACATGGATACATAATTTTATTCTTCGAATGGAAGGGACGAGTCACGGCGATTTCGAGTAACGAACGTTTGAAAAAAACTAAAAGGAAAAGAAGAAAAATCAGAGCGGCGATACTTGTCTCAATAACCGGAAGATTGTCCTGAGTGTCCGTCAAATTGTTCAATTTCCTAGCGGCGATTTTCTCGAAAAGACAACGAAGATAACGAGCACGCCGGTACCGTTAGAGCAAATTTGCCTAAGTCGTGCCATTAAATATTGTGCAAACTGAGAAATGTCGGTGACGTATCGGACGTTGAATTTTCGTAGCCGATTGCCGGTGACCTAAAGACACGCATTCTATGCGCATTGCACGAGCACGTCCTCGTCTTCTAACGTTCCCATGTTAATGCGCATCTTCGAACGTTAAATGTCCCGTGCGAATGCAATTAGTCCCGTTTGTTTGGCCCGCACGCGAAATCTAGGAGCTTCGGCTTCGATTGAATGCCCGTTTGTCCTCCTTTTATTCTTCGATCGTTTCAAAACCGAGCGCCGATTTTCCTCAAGCCTCTCATTCACGGAAGTCAGTCACGTGCGCTTCATTCATCGCGTTCAAACTCGTACGGCGCCGAATTAACGAGGATCGTCGAGACGAACGAGGAAAATAGGTCGGCGAAATTTCGTAGACGTTTCGTCGAAAGGGTTACCAAGAGGAGGTTCGAGACGAGTTTCGATATGAGGAAGAAGTTTAAGGTCGGTAAAAGTTAGCCAACCTTTTAACGGTGCTCTGTTTGGTGAGACACGGAGGAAAGTACACGGTCGATTTTATCATGCGCTCCACGTGCCCGATCGACGCTCGTCGCGCTTTTTCTACTTCTCTATCGATCGATCGTGAGTACCTAATAGACACTTTTCTTGCAATAAATTTTAGAATTCGTCCGTTCCATTTCGCTCTTTCTATTTTTTCATCGAGCAATCGTATCTTTATTGAAGATAAATTCTATTTCGCTTCGTTTCACATCTAATATCTAATAAATTCTTTTTCTTTTTCTTTTCTTTTTTTTTTTTTTTTTTTTTTTT